AGGGTGCTTACTGGCGGGTGACCGGACAAAGCTGTTAGGGAAACAGCAGGGCACCAGGCTGATGGGTTGGGTGTCGAGCATCGACCAGAGAGGGACAGCACTTGGGAGGATGCTCAACACTTAGAGTGGGGCTAAGTCCCATACGGGAGGTTGGATCCCCAGCTCTGCCCCTTGCTAAATGTGAACTTCTTGTGCTGTGGGGTCATTTGTAAAACAACAGCAACAACAACAACAATAATAATAATAGTGTGTTCCTCATAGGGTGATTGACTGGATTAAGTCAGTTCATGCACAGAAAAGTATTCAGAGCATCACGAGGCTCATGGCGTGTGCTCTGTACTTGGTGTCCTACTCCTCCCTCGCATGCAGACACACATGCACGCGACACATGTGTGCACATGCTGAAAATGCATCCTGCTTGGAGCGGGGTGAGGGTCGGGGGAGAAGCAGAGGAAGGAGGAGGCAGGCAAGGAGGACAGAGGCAGACTATGTGGCATGTGGGGTCTCAGAGACTAAATTTAATTCTTAGCGTGGAGGGAGTTTACTGAAGGGCTTCGGCAAAGGTGCTGTGGACAGGAGAGAACAGGTCAGGGAGAGGCTGCACACGTCGAATCCAGCGGTTTATGAAGCTATTTTAAGAGCCAGAGGGTGATGAGGAAGGCTTGGGTGAACGTCTGCTCGGTGTGATGTGAAGGGGGCTGAACCCCAAACTCAGACAGAGTTTCCTTGTACCGTGTTCTTTATACCATCTTTTTTTTTTAAATTTAGTTTTATTTTATCTTGGGAGGGAGGTAATTAGGTTGACTTATTTATTTATTTAGAAGAGGTGCTGGGGGTTGAACCCAGGAACTCGTGCATGCTAGGCAGGCATTCTACCACTGAGCTACACCCTCTTCCGCCCACATACGATGCTTCAGAGCTTTACCAGTACAGTCATTCCTTTGGATTCATGATGGGGTGAGGGAAGGGAATGTTACTGGGCGACTGTTCGTTTCCAGGTACGATTTATGTAATTCTCATAATGACTCTTCTGGTAGAGCTGTCTTAGCCCGACTACACAGACAGGACCACTGAAGCTCAGAGAGGTTCTTGTCTCCAATCCCCCAGCCAGTAAGTAGCAAAACCAGAGTGGAAGCCCAGGTCTGTTAAATTTCAACCTCATTTTCTTTTTTTCCTGTCCTACTGGTTGGCTCATTTCCCTTAAGGTCTCATGGTGACCTGGAAGTGCATTTTCTTAAAGTAACCCACGTCATGGGCACTTACAGCCTTCACTTGAGTCACTAGATGAGCTGCACGTTTGAGAGAGTGCAATGCAGATCGTGAGGGCTGTGATGGATTGCGGAGAGGTGTGACAGCGCCAGAAGGGTGGGCAGAGGTAGCATCTGGGCCCTGCCGACTAAGACAAAGGGAATAAGGTGGACCCTGTAAGCAGTAACTCCAATCCCACACTTATTTGTAGCATCACTTTACCTAATTCCATCTGCATGTACGGTGTTTGAACTTTTATACTGTTCCCATGGGACCGGGCGTACCCTTCCATTTTAGCTCACAACATGCCATATTAGTGTCCCGGTCCACAAATTGTCTGTCCCACGTCCACTTACTCAGCATTAAACTCCTAGGGACCCAGTTCCTAACCCAGAGACTGGAGCAGAGGCAGAGGGGGAGGGCTCAGAAGAGAGCGTGAAGACACAAGGTGCACCCCCTGCGCACAAAGACTTTCACGTAGTTTGAGAAGCTGAAATACGGCAGGACAGGAAGCCTGGGGCCCACTTACACCCCCTGGGCATAAACCACTGGACCTAAAAAGGAAATAACATCCCTTTGGGAGAGAAGGTGGTCCGATGAGGAAGGCAACGCTCCCCGGGTGACCTGAGCACCCGTCACTTGACATGGACTGGAGCATTGAATTCTCACAGCAGTCTCCTCTGCAGGATACAGTGGCCCCGTTTTATGGGTGAGGAAATCAAGTCTTAGAAAGGTACAGCTGCCAGTGTGACCCAGTTTACAAGCTGTGGCTGTCACCGTTTAAGAGCCACGATATCTTGCTGCATCATGGTCCTCATCATTCCGTGATGGATCACAGCTCGCAGTCTGTAGCCTCCACTAGGCTTGAAACAGATTCATTATTTACCATCTTATGTGGGTGGGATGATAGAGTCGGCTTCAGAGGATGGAGGTAGGGCGCTTACTAGCAGTATGGGGAAAGTCTGAAAACAGGGGTAGGGGGAGGGATCTGTGAAAATTCCTTTATGTCTAGACTCTTTCCTTTTAGGCTCTAGGAAGTCATCAGCAATCTCTGGGCTAGGACCACTTTATTCCATAGGACTAAATTATGAAATTGTATTTTAAAATTAATTACCATAAACGCATGATTTCACTTTTATTTTCATTTCAACATTTCAGCTTTCCAAAGGATGTTTCTAGCTCCTTGGTGGAAAAAAACCGAAAAACACTCAATTTATCACTGCGTATGCTCAAGCTGAGGATTTTAATTGCTTGGTGAATAATACAGATTTGAGTTCTCTCGAGTCCTTGATTTCAAATAAGAGTAACCTCACCCCCTCCCTCACACCCATTCACCAACATCCCACCCACATAAGATGGTATATAATGAATCTGTTTCAAGCTATAATTAAATAGTGTTAATTTTTTCCTATTATCAAAGTAACCAAAGTTTTTTGTAAAAGGTTTTATGATAAAAAAAGTGGGGGAAATAATGTAAAAATAACCTATAATAACACCTTCTAAATAGAGTTGCTATTTGTTACAACTTATTGTTACAGGCTATTTTTTCCAAGCAGTTTAGATTCACAGCAAAATTAAGAGGAAAGTACAGACATTTCCCATAGAACCCCACAAAATGTGTATCTCTCTCCCCCGTTATCACATCCCCCACCACAGTGGTACTTTGTTACAACTGATGACCCTACACTGACACATCGTTTACACTGTGGTTCACTCTTGGTGGTGTCCATTCTGCGAGTTTAGGCAAACATATAATAATGTGTATCCATCACTGTCGTACCATAGAGTGTTTTCACTGCCCTAGAAATCCTCTGTGCCCTGCTAATTCACCTTCCCCGCAACTGGCCATCATTGATATTTTTACTGTCCCCCAGTTTTGTTTTTATAGAATATCATATGATTGGAATCATATAGTAGCCTTTTCAGACTGGCTTTTTTTTCATTAAGTTAATATACACGTAAATTGTTTTCCATGTCTTTTCATGGCTTGATTGCCCATTTCTGTTTAGTGCTGTATGACAGTCCCTTGTCTTAATGTGCCAGTTTATTTGTCCATTCACCTACTGAAGGACATCTTGGTTGCTTCTAAGATTCGGCAATTACGAAAGAAGATGCCATAAACATCCATGTGCCAGTTTTTGTGTGGACTTAAGTTTTCAACTCCTTTGAGTAAATAGGAAGGAGCTAGGTTGCTGGACGGTACAGCAAGAGGACGTTCAGTTTTGCAAGAAACTGTCAAGCTGTCTTCCACAGTGGCTGCACCATTTTGCATTCCCACCAGTAGTGAGTGAGGGTTCCTGTTGCTTCACATCCTCACCAGCATTTGGTGGTGTCTGTGTGCCAGAGTTAGGCCATTCTAATAGGTGTGCAGTTAATGGTATCTCATTGCTGCTTTAATTCACATTTCCCTGATGACACGTGATGTAGAGAATCTTTTCAGATACTTGTTTGGTTGATGAGGTGAGACTTTTCTTATTTGACAGTTGCCAAGAGAAGTAGATCTTAAAAGTTCCCATCACCAGAAAAAAAAAAAATCTGTAACTGTGTGTGGTGGCCAAGAATACGTTTTTGTAGTGATCATTTAATAGTACATACAAATATCTAATCATTATGTTGTACACCTGAAACTAATGAAATGTTTCATCTCAATTTGTATCAAAAAAAAAACCAGAAGAAAGTCCTTCTTAGCTTTCTGACGTACAATTTTCAGACATGTTTATACACATCTACTCCATACGTTTATCCAAATCATGATTACTGTGAGATAGGCTGGGACCTGGGACCTGGGACCACTTCTGAGATGTTGGGGACAAATCAGGGTACCCTGCATGATCCCTGCACACGGCATCACCAAGGTGGTGGGCAGACCGCCTGAGCCACCCCTCAGGCCCGACCCACTGGTCTACCCCTCCTCACCCCATTTAAGGTACCAGCCCACCCCCCTCAGGAAGCAGAAAGGGCATCTGTTACTTCTTTTCCATCCCAGTCCCAACAAAGCCTTACTTGAATTTCTCATCTGGACTCTTACTAATTTCTATTAATTAAAGTGTTCAAGAACCCTAGTTGGAATCAACTGGACCTGCTCTTTTTTTTTCCTTTAACAATAATGAGCAAACACTTTTATGCATGCAAACTAAAATGATACACATCCCCACACAAGATAAGGCAGAGACAATAAGGATGCAATGCCTTTGCCCTCTCTGTTCAAATAGTAAGTCATCCTTTACAGTATATCCTTTAACATTGAACTTAAAGGGAACCTCAGAACCCTTCTCAGCACAGGTCTAGGGAGACAGTACTGTTCAGAGTTGAAACAATAAACTGTAGTTTTCATCTCCAACCTTGATCCTGGATGGAGGATCACATTACTTTACCTATCAGAAGCAGACTAATGGGGAAGGTAAATCATGAGAAATTATTACAACCAGGCATCTGACATAGCAGAGCCTGACAAGGGTCCTTGCGCTGTTCACACTCTGTCCCCTCAAGCAAAAGCTGACATATCACTAATGAGATGTTTTCCTTCCAGGCTGACGATCAGTTCACTTTGACTGTGTGTGTGACGGCTGCTTGTAAATGAATGCTCTCCTAGTCTAATTAGATTGGGTCTAGTCTATATGTTTCCCGTTGAGTCGGGACCCTATAGATGTCAGGAACATTTCTATTAATTGGACAACAACTCAGATGCCAGAGAGAAAGGGCAGTGACGAGGATGGCCACTGATGGTTTTCTCCCTCTCTCTTTGTGCCCAGAATCAGACGTCGCTGACTTCGATGGCCGGAGCTCCCTCCTGTACAGGTTCAATCAGAAACTGATGAGCACGCTCAAGGATGTGATCTCTCTGAAGTTCAAGAGCATGCAAGGAGATGGGGTCCTGTTCCACGGAGAAGGGCAACGTGGGGACCACATCACCCTGGAGCTCCAGAAGGGGAGGCTGGCCCTGCACCTCAACTTGGGTAGGTCAGGCTCTGCCCCTTCCCTGTCCCAGCCGGGCCCTGGGGAGCTCCCTTCTGTAGCAGAGCCCAGCTCCTTATTCTCCTAGTGCATCAGCTGCAGGTTCCTGGATCACAACCTAAGAGACACAATTTCCTTATCCAGGTTGGAGGAGAAAAGTACCATTTTTTAAAAACTCTTTTTGTATTTTGGGGGGAGGTAATTAGATATTATTTATTTATTAATTATTATTTATTTATTTTTAAATTTTATTTAATGAAGGTACTGGGGATGGAACCCAGGACCTTGTGCATGCTAAGCACGCACCCTACCACTGAGCTGTGCCCTCCCCACTAAAGAGCACCATACTTTTAAATGTTTAAACCATTAATAACCTTCTTTGAAACAAGGAAATTTTGGTAGAAGGAGAGAGCTACTAGCTAGTTGCTATTCATGTATTTATTTATTTGTCTCCATAATTAACTTTTTTTAGTACCATACTTTAACTTAAGCACGTTTAAACACACATTATTATAATGCACACATATAAGGAGGCTTGCTCACAATCTTATAATTGTTACCTTTATGAAAGTTAAGTTCCAGGGGGAAAAATAAACATTTCAATTTCTTTTTTTTAATTTATTTTGTTCTTTTAGGTGGGGGGACAAGGAGTCTTTAGAATGTTGGGAAAAATCTAAGCTACTCAACTTGTTTTGTTAAGGGAAACACCGTTTTCTCTAAATGTCCAGCTTATGCCAGGAGTAACCCTAGATTTGCGAAATGCCAGCTAATTGGGTGCAGGATGCCCTCTACCTTCTCTGTGCTTCGGACTCAGGCCTCCCTCTATGAGTTGGCATCCATCACGCCTGCCTCTCCACATGCAGGTCTGTGTCTCACTGTAATCAACTTCCCTTCCCAGGGAAAGAAAGACAGGCTCATCCTCCTTGACGTGAAAGGCACCTATGAAGGAAGGATGTGCCTAGTGCACAAGGCAGGGAGCAGAATTCCCAAAGATGCAAAGACAAGCTCTGCTGTAGAAAAAGAGCTAGGCTGATGGCAAAGGAGCTGACCACTTTTCTCAGAGTGACTCCCTGCCTCCCATTTGACATTTATCAGTATTAGGGGGAGGGCTGGATATTACACTTGTGGGAGAGAATTATCACCTGAGTATCAAATAGTAAAGAAGGAAAGTCAGAGCAGAAGACTAGCAAAGAAAGCAGAGTCAGAGTTTGTGAGCTCGAGTTGCAGGAAAGACTGGAAAAATCACAGATGCATTTTGTATTTAAGTAATTAGTATTTAGTAAGAAATTCTTTTAGTAATTAGCAGGAGAAACAGAAGAATGAAGATTACCATGAACTCATCCCCAGAGCCAAACAATATAAGCCTCTGTTCTGAGGTATTTCTGGGCATCTTCTTAGCCTTCAAGGGTTAGCAGGGAGAACTTCAGGATCCCAAGTTTAACTCATAAAATTTAAATCTAATGGATTCAATTAAATTACAGCAAAGGCATCTTTAGAAGGCGTCACACCCAGAGGATAGTGGGAAGAGGATTTGTCAGTAACCTAATTGATTATGTTAACATAGCTAAAGAAGAAATTTATCAGTGAATTGAAGGAAAGGTGAGCATAAAAGTACTAGCAGAAATATATCATTTAGTTACCTGGCCTTCAATTTTCATGAAAGGAGAATGGAGTAAACCCTCACCCCCCTACATCCAGTTACAAGTGGTTCACAGAACATTGTGGGTTATGGGTAAAGTTATCAATAGTAAAGCAGGTGATGCTGAATCTGCCACTTAGATTCCCAATTCGGATATGCCGTCGCCCTTCCAAAGCTGTGGCATAACCCAGCGATGTACACCAGCCTCAGTCACAGCATAGCATGATGGAGAGGAGTGGGCGTGGTCAGGCAGCAGATCTTATTTTAATTGCAGACATGTGCTAGCTGTTTCTTATGGGGAAAGTTCATAACCTCAAAGCCTCAGTTTACTCATTTCCAACCTGGAGTTAATAATAACTATCTTGCAGAGCATGAACATGACAACTAAAAGCATTATAGAGTGAATTTTTTTTATGTCAGTAAATAAACATAGTGAGGTACCAAACACAGAAGCTCTTAATTCTACTCATCATTCTACTCAATATCTGAATGTTCCACCCCCTGTGCTATGCTGGTCTTCCTAGAAATAAATGGCTGTATTAAGATCAAGAAGATCTACTGCTTGTTGTGATACAAAGAAAGTAGAATAATTCTCTCTTCCCGGATTCCATCTGCCCTCTATTTCTAACTGGTGGTGATAAGGGGAAATCTCATCTAGTGAGTGATTCAGTAGTAAAAATATGTTTAGTCTGTATTCTGCAGAGTTTGGAATTTCTTCATCTTTTCCTCATCTTGTGGATTTTACCCATCTCTAGCCATTTACCACAACTCTTCCTTGTACTTACTCTTTTAGGCAGTCACCGAGGATACCTGTAAAATAGCACACATTTCTATGTTCCTTCTCTAGAGAGGCACTGACATATATTAGAACCTCCGCTCTGCAGAACTCAGTTAGAGCCAGCAGATCCCTGGAAGCACTGAGCTAGAGGGAAAGAGGGGCATGATAATTAAATCAAAGCTGATAATCAAGGGAGCTTTGATACGCCCGTAATGGAAAATCTGTCACATAGGTTCCACGAGGGCAAGACAGCCCTTTGTTTATTGCTGTATCTTCAGAAACTGGAACACCTGCCTGAAGTAGGTACTCAAGGTAAATTGAGTACATTGGAAAAAGGGCTTTTCATCTCACATAGCAGAGCCTGACACAAATATGCATTATTCTCATTTGGCTTGCTTACCTTAAAGCCTGAGCTACTCTCTCTCCTATGCTGAGGCCCTGATATTTGCTGAACATATTGAGTATGTTGGTATCCTATCACAGCATCCTTGTTGGGTATGTAAATATTACCCCCAATTCACCCATGTGGAATATAAAGCTAAAGAAGAATAAATCACCTGTTCAAATTACATGGTTACTGATTAGCATAAGCAGTATTAAAATCTAGTTATATGTAACTTTCTTTTACTATTATTTTCAGATTATAAACTATATTTCACTTTTTGGAAAACTTGAAAAAAATTAGAAAGAAGGGTAAAAATCACTCAAAATCCTATAATGCAGTCATCCTTCTATTAACATTTTGGTATGTTTTTCAAGTGTATTCCCTAGTTACTCATATAAAATGTTTACATATTGTGTAAAATCCAAGTTCTTTCCATGTTGCCACACAGCCTTCAAAGTGGAAAGAGTTCATATCATCCACGATCAGGTTCTTAAGAGAAATGAATCAAGAAAGAAAGACAAAAGAGAGAAGGAGGGAGGGAGGGAGAATCCAAAAATCCAAGTTAATGGGCTAAATAATGGCATCGGCCAATGAGGAAGGAAGTTTCTCTTTTCCCAACTGAGGTAGACACTCCAGCAGCGGTTTCTTTAGTGGCAGTCCTTTGGTGTGTGTTCCTTGTCTAACCTGTGACCTCACAATGCAGAAATTCAGGCTGAGTGGAGGGGTTCAGCACCATGGCCAGCGGCAGAGGGTGGCCCTTGGAGATGTATGTAGTGATCTGTGGTTCTTTACAAGTGATGCCCTTTGCTGATGTGGTGATTCCTATTACCTAGTTACCCATATGCTGACTTGAAATTATCCTTTCAATGCTGACCTTGAACTAGGTGCTCCCCTTTGACCACTTTCTTAGGGTAAAGTAATGATTTTTCTAAGGCTACTAATAGGAAAGAGATTCCTTCTCTCAGTCCTTGAAGGGGCTAATAGAGATCCGTCTTTCCAAGTCTTACACATCTCATTCAGATCACCTGTGGCAGCTTGCCCTCTGTAGAATCACAACAGCACAAGCCCATCCATACAGGTGGGAGAATCAAAGAGCAGAGGTATTATGTGACTGGGGAATTGTTGTAAGAACTAAACGAAACATCAATACTACATTCAGGTCACTCATCCTTACAAGAGCCCAGTGCCTTTGAACTGAGGTAGAATATCTGTGCCGTAAGGGCAGCTGTAGGAAAGTGAGGATCCTGGAATAGCACAAACAGGTGTGGAGCAGATGTCTTTGGGGCCACGTGTCCGGTTCAGAGGCAAAGCATTTGATTGCATAACCACCTCACTGAGCTATCCTGGGATATCAGCAAAGGTTCTGCACATTCTCCAGAGAGTCAAAAGAATATTTTCTTTAGCTTTTTGAAATTCAGGCATTTTGATAAGCCAACTCGTGTGTATTTATAAAATATTTATTGTGTTTCTGAATTTGTACTAAATACTATGAAAGATGTTTTGTTTGTTTTTTAAACATTGCCTGCTTTTGAGAGCCCTCACTTAGGCATGTACTAGACATTTTACACATGTATTTCATTTAAATCATATGGCAATCCTACGAACTATATCCAAATCCATTTTCCAGATGAAGAAACTGATGGTCAGTGATGCCCAGTTGGTTGCCCTGGGTCACATAGTTCACATAATTGCATAGCTGAAGACCCCAAATTAGAACCCTCTCAATCTGACCCCAAGGTCCTGGCATTAATCATAAAAATGTTATAAACCTTCATGAAACAATTATATATTAAATATCAGGAAGTTGATATTCATGTGTCATATTTTGAGATGGACAGACCAGGGTGGGATAAAGGAGTCCAGAAAACCTTCGTGGATTAACCTTGAGTTATCTTGAGATTTTATTGCAAAGAGGAGAGAAAGACAGGCATTTCAGACAAAGCGTCAGTGGGACAAGTTGCAGCAGGCTTTTTATTAATTGCATCACTCATGTAATAAGAATTCATTGAGCAAGTACATTAAGCCAGGCACTGAGCTTTGCACTGGAGGTTAAAAGTTGAATTCACCAGTTCTGATTTTCAAGGAGGTCCCAGCTTGGTAGATTAATTATTTCTATTTACTTTCTAATTTTATAATATTAACTAAAAATAGATGAGTATGTGTCATCAAAACCATATCTCATAGTGGTAATAAAACAGCA